TAATTTCGTTGATCACATTCTCTTTGAAAAAAAAAAGAAACAAAACGTACATCTTCGCGGAATCCCTCGTTTCTCTTCCTATTCCAGGAAAGGGAAATCGTCGAGTCGATTACTCGAAAAAAAATGCACACGTTGGAAACGTGTACGAATCCGAGAATACGAGACAAGAGTTTTTTTTTCGAAAACGAGCATCGAATGCAGTTTCATCGAATCGCTATGTCGAAGAAGCTTCGATACAAAGACAGAGAGAGAGAGAGAGAGAGAGAGGATCGACGGCGAGGAAGAAAATAGAAGGCAATGGCCGACAAGAGGAGGGGGGGGAGAGCAGGTTCGGAAACGATCCGCGGAGACGCCTGCGATCCCCCGCCTTTTTTCCCTTCCTTTCTCTCTCTCTCTCTCTTTTTTTTTTTTTTGATATCGGCTGGTTTTCGCGGCACGGTATCGAGCTAACAATTAATTATTGGCGGGCGCTTCAGAGGGCTGCCGGCAGCCGTAGTTAAACATTACGCGTTCCATATCTTACTGTGCTATCTAATCCCCCACGGGGGCTTCGAAGCGCTACTGCAGTAATCTCGTTTAATTGCCGGCTGTAGACGCGAGAGTCCCGTTCAATTAGTTTTTCAAATAAACATTAGTTCCTTAACACGCGGTGCCATAACGTGGCGGAGGATGAGGACAAGGACGAGGACGAGAACGAGGGCGAGGGCGAGGATGAGAGGTGCCTGCTCCTCTCTTTGCGGAGGAGTAGCAGCGATGGCGGAAAGAAGATAGGAAAACGGTCAAATCGGTGGAGGAAGAGCGGGGGGGGGAGAGGGAGAGATCGTTGGCGAAAGAGATGGAGGAGGGGGGCGGTGGGAACAAAGCGAGAAAGTAAGAGGGCGGGAGTCGAGGGCGGGAGGGAGAGGAGTCGCGGAAGGCAGGTCGAGGTGGAGGTGACGGGTGGTCTGTGGAACGGAAGGGTGGAGGCGGACGGTGGAGAATGGAGGAGGAGGAGGAGGAGGTTCGAGGGAAAGGAGGGAGAGAAATGCCAGCGTGGAAGAGAAGGGTGGTGGTGGTGGTGGTGGTGGTGGTGTCGCGGCCGCGGGGTAAGTAATTAACGACACATTTATACGATATCGCCCACGGGTGCGGCGTAGCGCTCCATGCCGCGCCACTACGCCGCGCTAAACGGCCAAGAGACACAAACTGGTGGTGGTGGTGGAGGCTGGAATCTCGTTCCTAGCAAATGTTCGGCTAATAGGAAACTATCGCTGGATGTTCGTCGATGGATAATGATCTGACCGGATCGATCGATCGATTCTCTCATAAATTCGACAATTTATAATAGCCTCTCGTAGATTTTGTTTCTTTTCTTTTTTTTTTTTCTTTCTTTTTTCTTTCACGCGTATATATTGGCTCGGCCGTAGTAATCGGGTATAGAAATCGCGGGAAGATCGACAAATCATTGGACGAAAATACGACACAAGGGGGAGGTGGATCGAGGGCTGCTCGACTTTTGCCTTCGCGCGAAACGGTTCTCGTTGCCCGCGCGGCTGGTTATGGTGATGCGGATTATTCACTAATATGATTTACGACGTATTACCCCGACGTGCTAGCGCGCGCGACTCACAATGCGCACATAATGTGAGGCATAATTTATTAATTTTACTAATGGCTCCTGCCCATTATTATTGATTTCGGGCCGCGCCTCGTTCGGACGGGCGCTGATTTATCCCGGTCGTTATCGGCCCCATGTTAAATCGTCCGCGAACCAGGAGCCGCGAGAATACAATTCGACGACTCGTGTACTTTTCCTTTCCCGTTGCCCGCTATGTTCTATACCTGTCGATATATAACCATCGATGCGAGCGGATATCGCTCGTGCCTCCTCCTCTTTTTCCCGCGCGTAGGCCGAGCAAAAGTTTTCATTTTCTCTCTTTCATTTTTTTCTTCGCAGGAAAAAAGGAAAAGGAAGAAGAATCGTTTCTCTTCTTGTTTCTTCCTACGAAGAATTATTATCGGTTCGAATCTCCCTGAGATATATATATATATATATTATTTTTTCCAACGAGATGTCGCGTTTCGTGTATCGACGATCACGATCGTTGGTTAAAAAAAATTGGAATACGTTCTCTGGTATTCTTGGAGAAAGGGTAGATCTTCTTGTGCGATGGCCACTGCTGCCATCTTGGCGAATGTCGGGGACACGGTGTGGGGTCGTGCATCGTGCTTGGATCGTCGAAATGAAAGGGAGCAATCGTGTACGTGTGGAACACGAAGAGGGAAAGGGAGAGAATTTCTAGGATAAAGACAAGATGAACTCAATATCCGTTGTTTCCATATCGCGTCCGTTCGTCTATCGTGCGCGTGTGTGTCCCGCGCCGCCAATCTCCTCCCCCTTGTTGGAAATGTTATTGCTCGCTCGTGATCCTCCTCTCTCCTATACCGATATTTACGAGGCATGCGATCGCCTCTCGACTCGACTCAGCGTCAACTCGTATCACGCTTTAACCCTAGATCGATAAACATTTGTCTAATAGTAGTAAACGGCCTTCCTCCAACGAACTTTGCACATCTTGCACGAATGGAAAACTTAACCCTTTGCGCCCCAACCGTGATTCACGCTCGATCGCTATTTATAAAATCTGTCGAACAGATTTCCTTTAAGTACGATACGAAGCGTGGAATAACATGTTACATCAAGTTGAGCCGAGTAGTTGACAGACAGTCGTATCGCTGAATAGAAATATTATTTTCCTAAGTTTTCGTAAGCGTGTAACGAGATTAGTTCTAGATTCGTTAAGAAATGAAAGCGACGAAAACGGAGATGATGGTGAGAGAAGATGGAAAAAAGAAGAAAGTTGCAAACGAAAACGATGCATCTTGGTAATTGCTTTATTATTATTATTATTAAAATATCGCACGAACGATATACATTTCAACGAATTTCCTTCCCTCCCTGTAAGATACGCAAAATACAAAAGTAAAGAAATTCACGAAACGAGAGATCGAATAATTATCGATCGTTTTCGAGGTATCTCTCGTTCGACCGCAAGCACAACGTGCAAGGATCGGATACTCCCCTCCCCCTCACGAAGCAAGGAATTATATTACTCTCTTGGCCGATGGACCTTTGACGATTCCGTTTGAAGTCGGCGCGTTGGAGAGGCAAAGGAGAGAGAGAAGGTGAGCCCGGCGTGTTTAGGAGCCTCTGTCACCCTCGACTTCTCTCCCTAGCAGAGAGATTACCACGAACCCCTCGAGTACCAACGACGTAGCTGCAGCTACGTTAACCGCAAGCCGGACGGTCATTATTAGCAGCTACCTTGCGCCCCGACTACCTTCCCTTAAGCCGTGCATCGTTGAATAATTAGAGTGGCGCGCGCGCGCGCGGTCTAAACACTGGTTGCTAACGCGCCACCTCCTCCTACGATTTCCTTAAAAAAAAAAAAAGCGGTCCGTTCGTTCGTTCGTTCGTTCGCTTCCTTTTCTTTCCTCCTTTCAGAGTATGAGAGTATAAACGTCACACGCAACGACACACCACGATTGCTGTTGTTGTGGTTATTATTATCGACGGAGGGAGGAGATGGACACGAGAAGAAGAAAAGGAAACGAGACGGTAGAAAAATCGGATTGTCAACCGGCCGATTAACGTTATCCCACCGCTACCGCCCTACGGCCATGTTGCTCGCTCGCCTCCTCCTCCTCCTTTTTATTTCATGGATCGCCCCTCCCCCCTCCTCTTATTAATCGACGGTATCGAAACGCGCTCGCTTCGAAAAAAATCGGATACGGATGTAACAGGATGGGAGGAGGGGAGAAGGGGGCCGCGTCGAGAGCTCTCTTTGATGTCACGAGGCGGCGGCGGAAAAAAGAAGAGAGGAGAAAAGAAAGGGAACCTCTCTCCCTCCCCCTGCGTTTTCTTCCGGCGGGGAGGAGGAAAAAATTCGATTAGACTGCCAATAACTAACGTGGCATCATCCACGAGAAGAGACGACGAGTTAACCAAGTTTGACGATTAATTATCGCGAGAGGGAGAGACGATATGCGCTTTGATATTGTTGATATTGTTGTTGCAACGGTTTTGGCGATACGATTGATCAGGTTAATTGAAAGGATAGGGACGTAACGTAAGAAGAAGAAGGTGGCGCGAGAAGGAGGGTTTGGAAAGGAGAGCCCGCGGGGCCCTCCGTTCGAGGATGAAACGAGAGAGAATGGGGGGAGAGGAGAAGAAATCCCACCGCCGTGAGTAGCAGCGGCAAAGAGAGGAGTGTGTGAGAGAGGGGATCCCTGTTTCGTTCGCCCCGTTTCTCTTCTTTGCTTCCCTTTTCGTTCGCCTCGACGGACTCCGACAGCTCTTTCATCTACGGATGATTACCTACTCTACTCTACGCTGCGTCGCTCTAAACAGGCCGCCGCCACCGCCTCCTCCTCCTCCTTTACGTTCCCGATCCTTCCTCCCCCTCCCCCTCCTCCTCCTCCCTCCCCGCGCCTCGAAATTAGCCAGACAAATGAAAAGCGATTAATGGCGGTGCCCGAGGACGACGTTGGATACACGCGTAATTGGAACGAATTCCCCGCTCGGCTTCTCTTCCGGCCTTCTTCTTTTCCGCGGCGGAGGGGAGTCGCGTGATTGGTCGTCTGTCTGTCGGTGATGATTCTCAAGCGGTATCGATTTTTTTCCGGTGACGACAGGAAAACGGTGGAACAGCGGACGGATACTTGGTTGTGATCAGAAATTGGAATGCTCGATCGATAAAGAGGAGGAGGAGGAGGAGGAAAGAGACGATTTGTTCCGTTGCCAATTTTTGCATGCCGCGCAAAGCGAGAGAAGAGAATGGACGGTGATGATTTTTTTTTTTGGTTGTTTAAAGTGTATCTCGGATGAGAAAGAAGGAGTAATTGGTTTGTGTATCGGTGTTCCTCGAAATGAAAAGGATTGTATTCTGGTTGTTTGATCAATTGGAATCTTTATGTGGTATACGATCGACGAAGAGAGGAAAGCATAATATAATATAGGTTGCAAACGAAACGTACAAATTATTGGAAATTTTTGTGCGAAGAGATGAGAGCTGGTTTTGAGATGAAGATCCACAAAAAGAAAGAAGGAATTATATCGAAGATATTGTAAATTCAAATTTTGGAAGAGTGTTTGTTTTTTTGTGTTTAGTAAATTCTACAAATTTCAATATCTTTTGAAAACTAATGATTTTTTTCGATTTAAAACCGTGGTGAGTTCATTTAAAAAAAAAAAAACGTATGTCATCTTCGTATCCTTTGAAATTATTTCTTCTGGCCGAAACATTTTTTCGTGCAATCTAATTTCGTGTTTTATAACCGTGATTTCCTTTCAACCCTTTTCTACGTATTCACTAAATATTCAAAATTATTCAAAGAGACACGACATTAGTTCGAATACTTTGGTAAAAAATTTTTATATTTATACCATATACTAATAACTGATATATATTAAATCATTCTTTTTTTTAATTTACGATTAAAATCGTAATGTAAAATACGTCACAAAAGAATATCGTTACAGACCAATTCCATTTTCTGTCGATTTATATCTATAAATTATAAGTATTCGAATTGTTTGAAAATCAGGAAAATCAGAAACCAAGGAAAAAACGAGGCCTCTTATTCTGATTTCGAACGAAAGTGTATTTCTTTCTATACGTGAAACATAATAGAAAATGGATATTTTCATAATTTTGTGAAATCAATCCCCTAAAGTTATTTTTATACAATATACAATTCTCCGAAGTTCATCTAAAAAAAATCCATCGTGGATAGATCAGATCAGATAATTCCGTTTATTTAATTATTCGCTCTAACTGTTACGAAGCTACTTCATCGAAATTTTCGAGGAGATCGATAACGAAGAAGCAACGATGGAGGAAAATTTAATTTAATCAAAGTTGCTTGCAATAAACTTACTTCCAAAAAAAGAAATGAAAAATTACGAATAAATAATTGTAATACTGTACGAGTTACGAACCAAGCGTTACTCAATCAACATTTCAACGAGATAATTACTTAAATCGATAACTTTATTCGAGATGTTTAACTAGTTCAACCGAGTGGAGAAAGAAAAAGCGGTAACCTAAAACACTCTCTTCCATCCTCCAAGTGGATCTCTCCCCGAATCCAACACCGCCCCGAATGTTTACGTCACGTTTCTCGTTTCTCGACCCAGTCACAATTATGCACCGGCGGAAATAACATTTACTTAGCCGAGTCGCGCTCGAGTATTGTGGGCCTGACACATATCACTTGGTCGCGTGACTCGCTCCGCTCTCGGCTGCGTCGTCCCGCGACGCCGGCTTAAACTCGGCTCCAAGAACTTTCCGTCGCGCAGAAGAGACGGCTGCAACGTGTTGCGCGACGTATCGAGCCTCTTACTACCCAAGAAGAAATACGAAGGGGTGCAAAAACCCTGTTTTAACCCCGAAATGGTATTTTTTTAGGGATCAATATTATGATTTATATAAAAATACGTCGAGAAGCTATTAAGATATGTATTTATATCGTAAATATTTATAAAAGTGAAAGCAAGCGAAAGATAAGGAACACGCGAGCTACCGCTCTAGCTACTCTTCGTGCTCTTTGCATTTTTTTTCAAATTTTACGAGCTTGAAATACGTCCTAGAATTGAAGACGTAGACGTTGAAACGAAATTAACAAAATCGAATAATGAAAGCGTTCGAACGCTTACATTTTTGATGAACGAAATACATTCGTTAAAGAAACTTGTTTAAGACACTTGTTTAAAAAAGTATTTGAATGCTTCATACGTGCAGTGTTGTTTGCAACATTAACATTTTCTTGTAATTTGTCTCGATCGACTGGATCTTGAACCAGCGATTTTGTAAAATTGCAATTGATTTTTTCTTTAAGCATCCGCTTTATTTAATTCCTCGCCTATTAAGAGATTTTTTTATCAATTTTCAATTTAACATACGAGGTATATTTGTACATGTATGCCTATCGTTGTCCAGGTAAAAGTAGAAGTCTTCCAACCATCCCAACTTATGTCTACGAGATTGTTCTTTGGAATACGCAGATATTCGTAACGTAAACTTAGACCAATATCACTTTTCCCCCAAAACCATGCCTCAATCGTTTGTTACAAATATTTTTGCGAAAGAGTCAATCTCTTCTTTCGATTTTGCTTATTAATAAATACAACTTTCTTCTTGCTGCTCCACCAAAATTATTACGTAATTGGGGATGAGCATCTTTGTCGGTATCACGCTTGAAAGTGCAGATGCAGATATTTTGGACGTCCAATTCCCCGAGTTGAAAAACTTTTGCGGAGAAAAATCGTAGATTTTAAACACCGTTCTCCTCGATTCCTCTCGACGTTACGTCAGATCAGAGGGGGAGAAGGGAGAGGAATAAAGCGGGAAAGACATCCTCCGCGCAAGAAGTTTCTCTTCTCAAATTAACCGGCTTGGTTAGAGAGACGCTACGTAAACCGAGATTATAATAATCTCTCCGAGACTGCGGCAACATTAAACGAAGAGACGTGCCCTTTGTTTCGCGCTCCTATACCTACGTATGTTGTGTGTGTGTGTGTGTGTGTGTGTGTAGGTTGCGGTGCCAAAAAGCGTCGGACGGAGGAGAAAGAGTCGTTGGGGAAGATGGAAACGAAGCGCGAGTTTACCGCCACGGCCGACTTTTCGATGCGCCCTCCCATTACCGAAATCTGTGGACGGGGATTAACCACGAAGCGGTTCGCGATTTTGGCGCAAAGAAGGGGGAGGTCGGTTGCCAAGAATCTGGGCTTGGAGGGGAGAAAGCTTCTTTTCTCCCTTTCGATCGAATCGAGCTTCGATAATAAACTCCGGTAAGAGTAGGAAATGTATTCATTGGTGGTAAGAATGTCTCGAGCGATCTGATTGGTTAGATTCGAAATTCTAATTTATCGGCGTGATGAAAATTCCTCGCGGTATGTGTTTGGAAAATATTTCAGTCTAGTGAAGGTGATTTCTACGATTTTGAATTATAGCTCTTCTGTTGTGCTACGTGGAGGACGTGGTCAAGAACTCGACAGCAAAGAGAAAACTGAAGCTGATCGGCTTCAGTTTTCGATCAATATTTTTTTACGCATTATTCCAATAATTCTAAAATTTATTCTAAAATATTTGGAAAATTTTATTTATTGTCTAGTTACAGAATAACTTATCGATAATTCAATCAATCGGCTAATTTCATTTGCAGTCGAAGAGTTTTCAAAGATTTTGACTTTATGAAAACGAAGCTTTAAAAAATATGCTTATTCTATCTATAACAGTTATATCTGTTTATCCGTGACGATGAAAAAGGAATTCAAGGAGGTTATGTTCTTAGATACGCCGGCATTAAGGTGAATTTACACTTTTTCATTTTGAATATTCATCGGGGAATATATTATATCGTTCAACAAGAATTTTCAATCCTCGCGTTTGCATTTGTTCGATCTTTATACTCGCATTTCGAATTTACACGTATTTACATCTCGTGTACGATCTCGTTCGTTTTAGATCCAAAGGCGAGTAAGTAACTTCGATATATTTTTTTCTCTATTTCTAAATTCTCGTAGCAATTAAAGGCGAATTTACATTCACGAATGATTCCGTTTACGAAAGAATATATTTAAATTTATTAATTCGAACGTTCGATATCATTTCTGTGTAACTCTTGAAATCTTGTCCAAGTTTGAAAATCCATCGAGGCCGTCTCTAGTTTAACGGACAAAGATCATCGTCGATCATCGTCCTCGGGAAGAAAAAGGGAGGAAAAAGTGACCGGTGGCGCGTTTGTTTCCGCCCGCGAACATTTCCGCGCCTTGCGCCCTCCCCTCCCCGCGTCTTGCTTAATCCCAGAGTATTTATTCGCATGATAATAATAGTAACGCCGTTGGAACGTTTTCAAGAATTATTGCTGTCCTTGCCGCCGACGATAAATGAGTCCGGAGGATTAGCTAAACAGTGGCTCAAAAATGTTATTATATAGCTACATGAATATTCATCAACTCACTCGGCGAGCCGAGTTTGCCTTTAAAAGGTTTTGTACGCGGTGGTTCCGTTCCGTTGTTCAACCACCGTGACTCGAGGCCAAGCAAGAGGGCCTCGTCCTCCCTTCGAGACGAGGCTCGACTAACCTCTCCCCTCCCTCTATTCATCGATCCCTATCACGACGAGAGATCCGATAAATTTCCAACTCGGCTCGAACTCGGGCTAGAAATTCGCGAACATCGATTCAGTTTCTGGAAAACAGCGTCGAGATAATTGGCGAAGCGAATTTGGAACTCGTCGTCCCCGACCAAGGAACGGCCAATAAGGAGAGGAGCACGTAGAAGGCGTGCCCGTCCAATGTTCTTAGATTCGTCTTTGCTTCACCGGGGAGGGAAAAAAAGAGTCTGGATAGAGAATATCGAGGAAAAGAGAAGAAGAGGAAGGGGGGGATTGATCGGCCGAGCTTTGTAAAAATATCGGTCAATTAAAAAAAGGCGAGGCCGTTAAACGGCTGTTAAATACAACGCCACGCGCGATTGATATTTTTCCCGTAACGTTTCGGTAATCGCGTTGACGCGCCCGCTCGAATTTAATTTGCTCTCCGCCCGTCCGAACGCGCTCGTCTCGCGGCTCCCCCCCGTTCGTGAATCGATTCGTGAACCGACCGAGTAACGAGCGGTCGGAATTTCGACGACGGTAGGCTAATTAACGTCTAGATTGGCTACGCGTCGTCCATCCACCCCCCTCCACCTTTCTAGTCGCAACGCGCGTTGCGTGCTCGCCCTCTCCCTCCTCCTCCATCCACCATCCCGCCATCCAATTTTTTCCCCCCCTCCTCTTCGACCACGGCGCGCCGTTTATCTCCAGTCTCGAATAACCGCCGATTATTCGCTCGCACGGTTGAAAGATGAGACCGAAAATTTCGACTCGACGAGGATACGACGCGCGCGCGTGTGTGCGAGAGGTTAATTCCAATGTTGCCACGATTGTTGTTGCCTCTACGAGGCGGAAGGCGGCGAAATAACGGTGCGAGCGTCGCGAAGAAGTCGATGCGGGAAGACGAGAGAGTGAAGAAGTGGCGACAAAGGCGGTCCGAGAGCGGTTCGATAACGCGATAAGGCGAGGTTAAACCCATGTTTGGCGGGCAGGTTATAGGTTAAACGGTGAGCTAGGGGGTGCAACAGGTCGCGTGAACTTGGGTGAATTTTCTGTTCCAGGCCGCGCTGTCTGGCCCTCTTGCACTCCCCTCCCCCCTGTGTTATATTTCCTCCGACCCCTCTGCCGCAGCCACGGCCGCGACCATGGCTCTAACGTCGCCTCGTCCCCTCTCTACCTCCCTCTCTCTCTCTCTCTCTCCTCTCTTCCTATCTAGCCGTCATTAGTCAACGTCGACGCCTATGCCGCGTCCCGCAGAATGCGGCACCAGCTGCTCGATATCCTTCCGCCTGGCAAACCGAAGGTCTCCCGGTCGCGGAGTGACCGAGGCGGACTGGCACGGATTTTCTCCATCCGTTCCAACCGTTA